GTTGATTGAAAAAATCAAAATAGTAAAATTGTATATATTGATTAAAAAAATCAAAATAAGAAAAATCAGAAGATTTATGTTCCATTTAGAATTGTTATTATAAGATATATTTTAAAATAAATTATCATCTAAAAATATATATTAGATATTAAAAACATATTTATATCATAAATAAATTAAACTTTATTTTTATAAAATTTAACATATTTATTTTTATATTTTTAATAGTGTTAAATTATTATAAAATAAGTCTTTATGATTGTAGTTCTACCCAAACATTTAAAAAATGTCTATGATAGATAAATAAGTCATACTTAAGATATATATTTTTAAAGAAAGTTGGGTTCAAACTAACTAAATTATAATAAAATATAGTGTGACCTAATTTATTTTCATCTTTAATACTAATCGTAGATATAAAAAACTTGTAATAAATAATTATAATATATATTTATACCTTTAAAAGTTATATATAAAATTTTTAATACTACAAATATATATAAGAAATTAAAAATAATAAATTAAAAATAAGAAATTAAAATAAGAAATTTAAAATAAAAATTAAAAATAAGAAATTTCCGACGAATTTATATTTCTATCAGAAATTTCTGACAGAAATGTAAATCCGTCGAAAATTTTCGTCAGAAATTTTCGACAGAAAAATAAATCCGTCAGAAATTTCTGACGGAATTTTTCGTCAGAAAGTTTCCGTCAGAAATTTTCAACGGATTTATATTTCTATCAGAAATTTCCGACGGAAAATTTCTGATAGAAAATTTCGTCGGAGATTTCTAACAGAAATATAAATCCGTCAGAAATTTTTGACGGATCTATATCCGTCAAAAAATTTTCGTCAGAAATTTACATTTTTCTTGTAGTGAATGAATATCTTTATATTTTAATGGACTCTTTAAAAAATCTTGAAAATCCAGATTGAATACCATTGAATTATCTTTAAGTGACATAAAATCCTGATCGAATACCAATAAACTTTTTTATTCAAAAAAAGTCTTTTAAAATCTTATGAAATCCTAAATCAATACACCCTTAGTGTGTAAATTTGTAATTTGATCTCACATTAATCCTTAATAATAAGAATTTCTTTAATAGGTTCTTAGGAATGTAAACTCACAATCTTATTAGTTCAAAATTAAAAAAAATAATATATATATATATATATATAATTAAAATGATAATATTTATATTCATTCAAAAATAATTAAATTTAAAGATTTATTTAACATTCTATACACTTATTTAACAATTTCTTATTTTCAAGGATTAATATTACCGTACTTTTAAATTATGAGATAAATATAGGTATTTCATTACAAAAAAAAAGTCAATTTAGTCACCGAATTTAGCGACCGATTTTTTTCCGTCGCTAATAACGACATAATAAGCGACCGATTCTGATTTGGTTGCAAATTTTATTTAGCAACCAAATTTTTTAGTAGCAAATAATCGGTCACTAAAATAATAATTGTTGATTAAAATAGCGACGGAACGGTTTCGGTCGCTAAAAAAATAAAAATATTATTATTTAATAATTTTAGCGACCAAATTAAATCGGTCGCTAAAAAATTAAAAATATTACAATTTATAATAATTTTAGCGACCAAATTAAAATCAGTCGCTAAAAAACTAAAAAAAAATACTATTATTTATAATAATTTTAGCGACCAAATTAAAATCGGCCGCTAAAAAAATAAAAAAATATATTATTATTTATAATAATTTTAGCGATCAAATTAAAATTGGTCGCTAAAAAATAAAATATTATTATTTATAATAATTTTAGCGACTAAATTAAAATCGGTCGCTAAAAAAATAAAAACAATTATT